CCAAAGACTTGTAAGGAAACTCATCTACCTCTCTCACACAAGACTGTATTTCAGTTTTTTGGTTAGCATGGTAAACAGATTCATGAGCAATCCAACTGAGGAACACTTGAAGGCTGTGTATCGAATCTTACAGTACCTAAAGAAAAGTCCTAGCAAAAGGTTATTTTTTAAGAAGACATCACGCTAAAATGTTGAAATTTACATTGATGCTAATTGGGCTGGATTTGTTACTGACCGAAGATCAACTACTAGTTATTGTACCTATGTGTGGGGCAATTTGGTTACTTGACGAAGCAAGAAGCAATCTATGGTGGCTAGAAGTAGTGCAAAAGTTGAGTTTAGAGTTATCTCTCATGTCATAAGTGAGTTGGCTGAAAAAGTTACTAAGGGAGTTAAAGGTCTTTGCAAAAAAATCCACGAAGATATTTTGTTACAACAAAGGTATCATATTTATAGCTATTGGAATTCTCTTTGAACTTAAAAACTCTTTCAACCATGTAAAGCCAATCAAGGAACTGATCCGATTGCATCTTGCATTCAAATTCTGATATGTCAAGTTTGATATCATTGCGATGATAATCACGAGCTTTGTGTTTCCGGTGATGATGGGAAGAATCATCACAAAAATTACTGCTTGCGTGTTGATAAAAAGAGTTATAATCATCCCTTTAATTGTGGGACTAGTTGCTGTTAGCACTTCTTGAAGCATTACGACAGTCACAAAATTCAAGATGTTTCTTCAGTTCTTGAATTGTTTGTCTCATGTCATCAAATCACTGATCAAGAATTTCCTTTCTATGTGCTTCTTCGGCAAACATTTTTCCATGAACATGCTTTATAATTACAAAGCTTTTGATTACACCAGGTTTAGCACAGTCCAAAGCTCTGATACCAAGTTGATACCAGACTAAGAGAATGAAGAGAAATGAATCTCTTAACCACACTCATAGATAAATGGATAATCTCACTCCCTTGAAGGTATAAGTTTCACCACCACAAAGAAATAAGAAAATATTATCTAAACTCAAAGGATGCAGAATTTCACAGCCCTACAGAAAAGAGCTAAACAAGTTCACCACTCTTAGAAAATCTACCCAAGAGATACAAAACCTAAGAAAGGAAAAACACAAGGTTTGGTTTCACACAAAATACAATTTGCCAAGTTACATTAATGGGATGTATTTACTGTTGAACTTAGAACATCCTTCCAAGAATAGGAATAGCTAGGTCCAAAGAACAAACTTATGTTGATCGGAATTATTATGGCAAAAACAATATTATTTTGCAAAGAATCATTAAGGACACAAATTCTAAGAGCTCCTAGGGTTCTCATACATTGCTAGAATCAATTGTAGGACCTTAATTCCAGCAACTATTGTGGCATCCAAGAGGCATCTAATGGTCAATAGTGTAAGCTAGAACTTATGTCAAATATTCCTTCCAATGTGAAGTTGGATTTTCCAGAATTAACCCTGTGAAAGATTGGATTTTGTCCTTGTTATATTTTGATGAATTAGGTTGGCGGGCAAATTCTTGTTCATTAGTTTGGGCCCTTGAGTGGAAAAACTCAATGGGTATAGACTTAAGATATTGCTCCTGCATCAACATATCAACAAAGTTTTAAAGTTTAATTCTTATTATTTTTATTGTTTGAACCTAAACTTTAAGTACTAAATCAGCCTCTATCTAGTCTAAGTGTGCTGTTTATAAAGATCCTACATCAAAACTGGTCTGCTTGTGCTTTTTGATGGGTAGATAAGAATTTCAAAGGTTAATTTCTAGGATTGTTAAAGGTAGACAGAAAAAGAATTTATGTTAAAGATTCATCTAAAATCAATTGACAATAGGTGGTTCAACTTAAATATAAAGTCATAGCAAAATTAGACTTAACCAAAGTGTCATAGCACCACTCAATACTCCCCCTCACATGTAAGCTCAATACTAACAGCCGAAACAAGGCCTAATATGTGGGCAAACAACAATAATAACAAACAATATAACAAACTTGGGCTATGATACAGTCTTAACTATCCAACCTTAAACCAATTAGCAAAAGGTGGAGAGGCTCCTTGACTATGAGCCATAGCAAATTCAAGACTTGGCCAATGTGGATAATGCTACTCAACAGTTTTAACTTAAAGAAAACAAGAGAAAAAAACTAAAACTCAGCTTAAGCATTAAAACAACCGTTAGTACAACATTAGAGCTGCTATCAATGTGCTCAATCATCAAGTATTCCAGCCTTCTACAAGTTGTTTCCATTTTAATAGACATTTTAATTTAGCTACAAAGAATGTATTGTTATTTTTCTTTGCCAAGGAAAGCTCCATAATATCTTTAAGAGGCATTTCTTAATAAGGCAAAATGCTGTATTTTAGGGCTTTATCAGTGATTCTAAAAGTGTTAAAGTTAACGTGAAAAAAAATTAAAGCTATTCATAAATGGCCAGATTCTACCATACAAAGTTAAACCAAAGTTTTTATGGTTTAGCAATATTTTACAGGCGTTTGATTGGGAAATGTAAGCACTAAAACATAGTCATCACCAATTGCACAAATAAAGGTCATTCTGTTTGAATGAGACAGCCTCTACAGCTTTCAAAGAAATCAAGGAAAATATGGCAGTCCAATTTTACATCTTCCAAGCATCTCTATGGCATTTGCAATAACATTCCTTTGCTATCAAGCACAAGGCCAAAATTTAGAAAAAGGAAATTGATGCATTGAGCAAGCTGGTCTAGACCCTGATTGCATGGCTATCCAAGTTATGGGCTTTGAGTTGCTTAAGAGAGTCTTACCATCTTGCAAAAATTTTACCGGTATATATGCACATTTATTAACAGGGCAACAAGCAGATTATAATGATTTTTTCCTATGTGATGGTTATCTATTCAAGGGAACTTGTCTTTGTTTACCTGACACATCTTTATATGGATAGACAGTTCGAGAATAGCATTGTTGAGCGGTACTGGGATATTTGGAAGGGATGAGAACATCCAAAGGATTGAGGACCAAATTTATTGGACTAGTTTGAAAAGGGAAATTTGTAAGAACATTGTCCATCGTCAGACTTGTCAAACATGAAAGCAAAGAAATCAAAATACAGTTTTATATATGCCATTGCCAAAACTATATACGCCAAAGAAGGATATACTTGTGGATTTCATACTTGGATAGCATACATCATAAGGGGTTAGGATACAAAATTTTGTGGTAGTGGATCAATGTCCGAAGATGCTTTTACTAAGCATCTTTAGGATATACATTCTTAAGTTCAAAGAAAGATAGCAATGACCAACGAAGTCTATAAAGCACAGGTTAATTTATCAAAAAAGTCTTTTAAATTCAAGTGGACATGCTTGTGGTGCAAATAAACCAGAAAGGTATCCTAAAGGTGGGCTTGGTCCCTAGATGCTTCTCAAGAAAATTATCTTATACCCTCATGTCCTTGACTTCTATGATGGTATGAGAATAAATAATGTCTTCAACATTGAATACTTTAACAGTGGACCATAGTCATAATCAAGAAATGGCTAATGATGCTATATACTTACATGGTTTTCTCCTATCCTACAACTTAAGGAAGCGGTTAGAGGCATTGTTGGTCAGCCAATGCTTTCCACTTAAGGGAGACGGCATTAGAAGTTGGTTCCCAAATGGAAAGGCAAGGCATCCATGTCCCAGTTGCATGTGAATCAACAATGGAGGGTTGCAGCAACATAAACTCAAAACTTATCAACAAGGTCAAGCTTTTCCAAGCAAGGGTGAGATGACAGAGCACCTTGTAACAGTTTCTAAAGCAGCTTGAAACAAGTATTAAGGCTGATTCTACTGCCCAAGCCATAATTTGGCACAAGTCAAATGATGAAAAGCTGAAAGAGAACCTTGAATAAACTTTATTGCTTGATATTGAGCTTCAATTGTATGGTTCCTAGAGTCAAAAGTTGTAGGTTTTATTTTCTATGTTCTTTAGTTTTAAGTGTCAAAGGTATTCCACTAATTTCTGGCTTTGATCTGAAATTTTTGGATTTTTAGTCTTCAAAAATTGACATCTACCTTCTTTCAATTAACAGAGAACAAGTTTGGCAGATATTTAGCAGCTGTTATGATTTCTTTAGGTTGAGTGAAACTACCTAACCTTATACATAAAGGGCTAGCAATCAAGCCGAAAAAATTCTTAGTATGAAGCAAGGATTCTTCTTATTCTTTAATTTCCAGCATTATCTGATCTAGACTGGGCTTTGAACCCTTACAAGACTTTAACCTAAGTAAAATATGTTCACCATCAAACTCAACTTTGAAACTGCTAAATATAGTTCCCAACAGTATTCATGGGTATTGTTTACAGTAGTAGGACAGCTCCAATGTGGCTTTCTAAAACCCCAATTTCTACCCCAAATCTTAATCCCATGCAGAACCAATTGTAATTATTAGTTAACTTTAACGCAGTTTTCGCATAAAAAACCCTAGAAATTAACCTTAACATCCAAACCTTTTGAAATCAGTTTTGCTGTGAGATAAACATGTGCATATTAGAAGGTATTAATTTTTCCAGCAATTCATTTGAAAAGCATTATTGATTGTCTAAAGATACCAATGAAGAAAACATTATGCATTTATTCCAGCTAAAAAGCTTTTACCTCACAAACTGAGACTAAACTTTCCAACAACTGCATTATGCATCAAAGATCAAAATGAAGTACAACAATTATCCAAATAATAGACAAAAATGTCCATCAAAGTAGATATGCGGAAAACCCTCTACAACATATCATATTCCACTAAACCCTTATAACAAAAATGCCCATCAAAGTTGCAATTTCATGCTAATTTAGCAGATTTAAATTACAATTTGGGCCACCAGTTTGTCCTGGGCTCAATTTCTTAACCACCATATTTAACGAAAATTCAATTCAGCCATCAATTTCAATTCTTTTAATAACTCCCAAACACCTAGCAGTAAACTTAGATTTCTTTAAAAAAAAATCTGAAATAGTTTACCTTATACCCTGATTGCTCCACTGAGCAAGTATATCCTTTGAAACGCTACTTCCAAACACCATCGAAAATAATTGATAGGCTTCTTCCTCTGACAATTCATTGTCTAAATTTACTTCTTTGGCTTTTATCTCTGCCTCTTTCATTCTTAAACCCCCGCTTCCTTCGTTTTTCGACGGGAGACTAGAGGACGGAGTGCTTTTAGCCGCTGCCAGCATGCGTTTTTCAGCTGCGGCTGCCAGGAGCTCGCGCTGCAACCGTCTGCTCTCCTCAGGCGTCGTCGTCGCTGGTGAGCCGGCAGCTTCTCTCGGCTTGCTCCGTTTAGGCTCTGGCGGCAAATTCTGCATGCTCATCCGTAGAGCCATTCTCAAGTCCTCTTCTTCTTGTTGATCCGCCATGTGATAGCAACCGATCAAAATTTAGCAATCCAGGGTTTCGAAACAGTTGAATTTACGTACAGATCAATTGAATTTAACAAAACTGTTATCTTTCAGATGGTTATGAATCTGACTTTGATTCGGATTCAATAATGATAAACAAAAGAAAAAGATTTAAGTTTTCTAAAAACCCCTAAACAAGAAATTAGGGTTTCAAATTTCAGGCCAACTGGAACAAGCTGGACGTAAAAGCGAGTGGAAATTCCGTTTCAAAAAAACAAAAACTACGGATTAAAAAAAATAAACTCCTCGTTAGGGTTAAAATAGGAAAGTGACTTATAAAAAGCAAAAAATTGATGACGTTTCTAAATATACCACAAAAAATTTTTATACATCTGTTAAATTTTTTAAAAAAAATCAAATAGTAAATTTTAATTTTTATTAAACGATAAAAATATTTTTTTCACATATACTAAATCTTAAAATCTTGAAAATAACTTTTCAATAATTGTTTTACTTTTTTGAAAATAAATTTTTGATAATACAATATTATTAGCTTTGAATTAATCTTTATTTTGAAACGATAAAATATTAAATTAAATAAGTTTGATTAAAATTTTAAAAAAAATTATTTAACATAAGTTCGTAAGTTTTATTATTTTAGTATTAAATAAATAATATAATTTTTAAAGTTTAAACAAACTTTTTTTATATTTTCTTATTTCTTAAATCAAACTATCTTTAAACATTATTTATTTAAACTTAAATAAAAGTCTAATTATTGTTTTTAAAGTAAATTTATTTATTTTAAACTCAATACAATTTTGATAATATTAATTTTGAAAAATAGATTAACTTAAGAAAGTTATTTTATAATAACAAAGTTTTCTAATATTGAATTTGTTTTATTTTTCTATATTAATTCTAAAAGTTTTAATATTTTAATTTTATATGATTGGTAAGATCTTTAAGTTTTCTTTTTAATGGATTAAACAAAATGAAAATTTAAATATTTAAGAAGAGATTTTAAAATTTTACTAAACAGTTCCAGTTGTCTAAAAATGGTATAAAAGGTAGTTTTGAAATTTCAATATAATTCGAATATTATGAATTAAATGATGAATTTGATATAGATAAAATGTCTTTTAATTCTAGTTTTTAAATCTTTAAACGATTTTTGATTTGGAGTTGTATAACTCAAGATATAATCAAATTAGTAAATAGAGTATAAAACATGAGACAACAGCCTAGCTTGACTCGATCAATCCTCTAAAGGACAGGATTGATCCCCTGCTTGATAGGATCAATATCTTTTTACACAGAATCGATTGGGTATTTGTCCGAAAGGCCAAAATGTTGAAAAATGAGCAAATGAAATCGATCTCTACAAAAAAGGATCGTTTGAGTAAGGCACATGATCGATCATCTATCAAAACCAATGATCCCTTATACCTAGAAAAGCTTCAATAGCTAATTTTTCAAGCTTCAACAGGTTTTTTCAACTCCAAACCATCCCCAACGGCTAGTTCTTCAATTCTTCTATATATTGGGCATTCCAACACATTAAGAAGGAGTAAGAATCAAGAAAGCAAGTACCAATAAGCCATACATTCATATCTCTAAAAAAAATTAAGAGTTTTAGAGCTTTAAAGTCTATATCTTTGTATTTATTGTATCCAAATCATATTCATTATTTATTCATCATTTTTTTGTATTTAAACTTAGCAAACACCTAACCTTAGAGAGGTTATTCTATTGTTTACAAAATTACCTTTGATATATAAAAAGGAAAAATAGTAAGAGGTGAGGTATCTTCTTGAGAGCTTTGTAGTGAAATTGGGTAAAATACAATAAAAGGTAGAAATTTTTATCTTACGCCTTAGAGAAAAAAAGATAGGATTGTATTTTCAATTCAAGATTAGTGAATTAAAGCCTTGGTATAAATAACCAAGAAGAGAGGACGTAGATGCCTTGTGAGGAATTATCGAACCTCTATAAATCCTTATTTTTTATTTTTCTATCTCTATCTCTTTACTTTGCATTTGCTTTAAGATTATCAATTTATTATTACTTGCATCATCTTTTGATATTGATTTTAAGTTTTCATGTAATTATATTAAATCATTGTTTGGAAAGAATTTAAAAAAATCCAATTCACCCCTTCTTAGATCACCATCTTACCTAAAAAGCCAACAATTGATATCAGAGCTTTGATCTTTTTATATAGGTTTAACCACTTTAAGTAAAGATCCTATGGCTCAATTTAGGTTTCAAGATGGTGAGGAAGTCATCGAAGCTCATATGTTTAATGAATTTGAATTTTGTGAATGGAGAATGAGGATGAAGGTGTTCATAATGATTCAAGATTTTAGAGCTAGGAATGTGATAAAAAAAAGTGCTTAGAATTTCTTCAAATGATGCTAACTACATGAGGCAAATAATAGATAATGCTAAGGCCAAATACTTACTATACGGAGCTCTTAACTCTTACAACTTCAACTTGATCTCAAATTACTCCACCTCAAATGAAATAGGAAGGAAGTCAAAGGAAATACATGAAAGGCAAACCTCTAATCGAAATGCATCATGTCTTATGGCCTTGAAGAACCGAAGGTAATATCTAATTCTATTTATTCAAATTCATATACTTTTAATGAATTACAAGATGCTTATAATGAGCAACATATTAAATGTGAATCAATGAATAGCAAATATAAAAAAAATAATTTCAAAATTGAATGTTGAAAATGATTTTTTGATGAATGCAAAAAATATTTTGAAAAAAATAAAAAATTGAAAATAGATTTTGAATCCTCTCAAAGTAGAGATAAATTTTTAGAAAAAAATATTGCTTTGAAAAAGAAATTTGATGAATTGATGAATGAAAAACAAGAGCTTTTAAACAAGGTTTAAGAGCTAAAATGATTAAATATAATTTTTGTAATTTCATGATTATGCTCTACATATCTGTCCTATAAAAAAAATTCCATTTATCATTGGGCAAGTATGAGTTTCAAAAGGAACAAGAGATATTTTAACTAACTTTCAAGGACCCAAAGTAATTTTGGTACTAAAAATCAAATAAAAATGTCTCTTGTAGGTGTGCTAGAGCAAAGAGTTACATCGTGATTTTGAAGATTAAATATTCTAGACACATAATGGAGATGGATAACCTCTAAACTTTTATGAATTTGAATTTGGTTACCTATTGTTGATGAATTTTAAATGCTAAATTGTTATATGCTTTATTGATATATCTTGATTAATCTTAAATTGTTTTGAAGGAAATACATGCCTACATATACTTGTTGATATTGTGTTTAATGAGATATATTTTATATATGCTTGATATGAGTAAGTTATGTGCTTAATTGTTTTTATATTTATGCAAAAACTTAGGGGGGCACTCTAAGCTTAATGATTTGAAATTTTAAGTTTTACTTTGAAAATGATTTTTATTAGAGTCAAACTTTAAAATATGAAATATTGTTTTAGCAAGTTTTTAAATGGAAATGAATTTAAATATCTTGTGTTCAATGTTTTAAACTTGCTTAAACAAAGAAACATGATAACTTGCATTGGTTTTAATTTTTCATAGTGATAAATGCAAGTTATAAAGGATTTTGGAGCTTAAAATATCAAATTTTGTTTTTTGAACATTTATGGGCATAAAAAAAACATTTAGACATTTTCAAATTGTGAAATTAAACTTTTCTAAATGGTTTAATTAAATTTTCCTTGTTTAAAAATTAACTTTTTGATTTCCTTGCTTTTAAGGCCAAATTACCACATGAACAACCTTATTTTGACATTTGAAATTTGTTGAAATGATTCAAGTTGGTTTAAAATGAGCTTGACAAGTTTTTAATTTTTTTCATGGTCTTTTCTAAGCAAAAATAAGCTACAAATTTTTTAAAAATTAAAATCTTGGACATATTAAGCTTTGGCTGGTTCATTCTATTTTGTTTGGCATAAATGCATTTTCTTACATGAGTTTGATGATATAATTATGATTTTTATGGCTTTAGTTCATTTTGTATGGTATATATTGATCCTTGAATAGTATAAGGTCTAAAGAACCTGCTTAAGAAATTTGTTTATATTTCACATGTTTTATGACCAAATAAGTTTTCTTATTTATGAAAAATGTTTACAAACTTGTTCCAAAGTTTTTTGAATGGAAGTCATAAAGGTTTAAATGTTTCAAGAGTGTTTTGGGCATTATTCATGCATAAATGGAGTTTGGAACTTTGAAAAATTGAAATACATGCATTTGTTGAATATTTGTGCTTTCATCATATTTGTTTGATCATTCAAACTTGTTTGAAGTGGTTTCAATGCATAAACTTTGTCTAAACACATTTTCATACTTGATAAGTGTAAGTGGAAATAAAATGCTTTTTAAAACTTAAAAGATTTTTGAAAAGTTTAACCAATTTTTTCTTTCAAACCAAATAACATGCTATATTTCATTATTATGCAAGCTTAGTTAATTTGGCATAGATTCTCAAAGATTAACTTGAGTATGATATAAGATTGTTATGAGTATGGTAAAGCTTGGAATGAATTCTAAAGTAAGCTTTGCTTTGGATATGATTTTTGTGCATGTGATTTTATTATCTTTTAATGAAATGCTATGATTCTTATGAAAGTTTAGTGAAATGTTAAGTTACATGGAAGTTTGAGGATATGAATATTACTTTAGAATATACCTACTCAATCCTAGAGGTAAAATTTTAGATTGTATTTAACTCAAGATATGATCTAAGTATTTCTTTGGACTGGTTGATCTTTTTTCAAGCTCACCATTTTGATGCATCCTTAGTAACTTTTATTTTGAGCCTTTATATATTATCCGTTTTCTTTGTTTATTTTAGCCACAATAAAAAACCCAAGCTTTTTTTTTTAAATATTATCCCTTCTTTTTTTTGTTGTGACCTAACCAAAATGTGCTTACTCATATTGTTGGATACATTTGTATAGTTAGGAGAAAGAGAGGCACAAAGAATGAAAAAAAATTGGTAAAAAAAAAAAAAGAAAAGCAATGCAAAGCCTTAATGAAGTCAGAAATGGCTTTAGTGAAAAAAAATGCCAAAATTAAAATGATGTCCTAAAATTTCAAAAAGTTCTCAAATGTTCAATTCAAAGTCCAAGAAAATTCAAGAAAGTAAGCTAAGGGTTTTAAGGCTAAAATTTCTTTTTTCCTATCTTGACCAAGCTTTACATTACAAGCCTTAAAAACTTTTTGATTTTGAGTGAAGTATGTAAGTCTAACATTAATAGAGAGGGAAGGGGAAAGTGAACCTATGA